ACATCCATGATCCATTGGCAGATAGTGGCGTAATTCGCCCGGCCTCTCCTCCCTGTCTTGGTGAATGTGGATTATGAATGTGACTGTGGGTGGATCATTTAAGTTTGTTTTTTTTATTTCCCACAGGGAGGACTCAAATAAACACTGAATAATAATGTGTTTAATGCAGCTTTGCGCACATTTGTTTACATTTTACAAAAACGAAACTTAAAACCACATGGCTAATTTGCATAAACTATAAACACTGAAAAAAACAGCTCACTCCTTGTGCGCTGATGTGGTTCAACTTTTATCGGACTAAAGGACACAACATTGCGAGGCTCCTGACTACGGTAGCTGTAATGCTCCAACAATCCATCAAGCGGCGTGTCTTTGTAGTTTACCAAAACATACTAAAACATTTTGGCAGATTTTTGAACGCCGCGTACCACATAAAATCGGTTCGAGGTCAGAAAGCACAACCAGAATGTTTACATAAGGTACACTGTCGATTTTTGAGAAAATTAAAGGATTTTAAGTGCGCCTTATAGTTCGAAAATTACGGTGAAAAATGCACAAAACGTAACGTAACAAAAATCAACCATGTTATTACAATGCACTGACTGCACCATCACAAAACCCCATAGTGTATAGACATTTGCAAAGCTAATTTACGAATTTTGCAACATTCATGCCAGTATTTAGTCATGTACAGTTGTGATTAGCTTCCATACATTATACATACAGTTCATACATTTTTAATATTTCCAACAATTTGCCCATACCAATCAGATCATCTCTACGCATTTATAGAAGCAGAGTCCTACGCAGTCAACGGAGGACAACTTCAACCAAAAGACCGAGATATTCCAGACATATTTACCCATGAATTATATAAGAAGTCTGCCTCAAAAGCCGCTCCTATTCTAACCAGTGGGCTTCGCTTTGATTCCGCTGGCTCATTTACAACTGGCGGCCTCACATCTGAAGACACAGCACTTTCTCTTTGGCTAAAATATCTGAACTGTGTCACTGTGTGTTGCGTCAGCTTGTGTTCACAGCACTCTGAGCAACACAACACACGGGGAGTAAACAACAGCTGGCAACACGGAGGCCCAAACACCACATCCAAGCACAGAGAGGCGCTTCATGAGTGTATTGTGTGTGTGTGTGTGTGTGTGTGTTTTTTTTTTTTTTTTTCTTCAGTGCAACAGACTACAGCTGTGGAGGCATTACGCAACTCGCAGATGGTACGTAAAGAAGTATAACGTTAGTGTGAAAAGATATATTTAGAGAGAAAACGGTGTAACTTGAGCGATTCAAGAGAGAACGGCTCACTCACTTGGTGCTGTTGTCAAAAGTATCGAACGTCGTCAGATACTAATCCAAAAATGTGCAGAATTATGTTTCAGCCACGAGGAAATTAATAGAAACAATAAATAAAATAATACAAATAATAAAATCAATGAACAAAAAATAATCAAATCAATACATAAAAGCAGTACTAAAAAAATTAAATAGATAAAAACAATAAATAAATAATCAGAACTAAAACTACTCATTTTTTTTGCAGGAATCGATACTGAAAAAGTCAGATTCACAGGACAGAGATGAGGCTTTCCTGAAGAGTTTTAGAAAGATCGTCGAACTGTATCAGAACAAGTATAAGTGTGTTAGTGTTGAAATAGTTTGAAATTTTCACATCAGTACAACATAGACCAAATGACATACGCATTTGGACATGTGCATGCTGTTGCTGTGTCTTTGGGCAAGACACAGCTCTTCTGTACGAAAGTGGTTTTATAGTAGGGTTGTCAAAAGTATCGAGAAATCAGATACTAATTGATATTAATCTAGTATCGAAACTAGATACTCATTTGAGCAGGTATCGATACTAAAAAAGTCTAGAAATGAACCTTTCCTGAATAGTTTTAGAATGATCTTGAGCTGTATAAAAGCACATAGACTATCATACGCCCATGAACCACAACTGAACCTGCCCGGACAACTGAAGGATTACACAGATACAAAACCACATGGGAATATAGAAGAAAGTAATATGATTTAATGTTGAAAATGACACCCTACTGTTTAAATAATGGTTTTTTTTTTTTATCAGCATTGTGATATCAGAGTCAGTATTGAGTATTGAGTCTATTCCTTAGTACTGACATATTTTGAATTTTTTGCTTCAGTGCAACATAGATCAAATGATATACAAGTTGTAAGTTAGTAAGTTTTTTTTTTGTTGTTTTTTTAAAAAAATTATTATTATTATTATTACCTCCGCCAAGGAGGTTATGTTTTTTGCCGGCGTTTGTCTGTTTGTTTGTTTGTTTGTTGTTTTGTTTGTTTGTCTGTTAGCAACATAACTCAAAAAGTTATGGACCGATTCTGATGAAATTTTCAGGATTTGTTGGAAATGTGAAAAGGAAGAACTGATTTCATTTTGGGGGTGATCCGGAAGAAATCCTGGATTCTGGATCACTTTGAAATTTTAGTTAACATTGTGGTAAATGGGGCCAAACATTTAGTTTCTCAATATCTCGGTTAATTATTGACCAAACCCCATGAAATTTGACTCAGGGATGGACAATGGGATCCTCTTTGATATTCCAAAGGCTGATCCGGATCTGATCCAGAAGACTGATTTTATCACAATTTATATAAAAAATGGGGGTAGTCCTTGGCGGAGGTCTGCGCTCTCTGAGTGCTTTTCTAGTTATTATTTATTAATTTTTTTTTATAAAGCTCTTTTCATAAACATATGCCACAAAGATGCTTTATTCATTCACTCCACACTTGGTGGTGGCATAATGACAGAAGTGTGGCAGCCAATCTGTGCCATCGATCCTTTCGACTATCACCATCACTCACTCACGCACACTCCACTCTCATACTAGCCAACACTCCACTTTTATACTAGGAAGTGCCTTGCCTAAGGACACGACAACAGTTTTTGTGACTGGTGCTCCACTGTGGCACCTGATTTTCCCCGTGGCCCGGTCCTGCTTAGCTTCTGAGACCTGACGGGATCAGACTTTGACAAGCAGCTGGATGTGTGCATGCAGTTGTTTGGACAAGACACAGCTCTTCTCTATGGAAGTGATTCCATATCAAACAAATCGAACTGATACTAAAACCAGTATTTAAACTAGATACTCAGTTGAGCAGGACAGAAATGAACCTTTCCTGAAGCTTTCGAATGATGTTGAGCTGCATCAGAACAAGTATAAGAGCACATAGACTAGTTGACGCCCAAGGACCACTGTGGAACTTACCTCGACCACAGAGAGATTACATAGTTATAAGAGATAAAGAAAGTACTACGATATTGAAAATGACAATTGATCTACAAGGCAATGCAATGGTTTTCTGCTAGCCCCAAACCTGGATTAAAAACAGACTGTAGCAGGACGGGCGTCGGGTGTAAAATGCATCAACTTATCGACGTCAGTGTCAATTTTTATTTCTATAGCATGTAAAAAAGTCGAAGCAATGAGAATTCAAAAACAAAAAAGCTGGTTGAAGAATGAATCAGCTCGACTCATGCGAAAAGCCCGTAAAAAGAATATGTCTTTTAAGAGTGCGGCTTTCAAATGTCTATAAATGATAGTATAGTACGTGGGCTATTTTCTCTGATAGAAGATTTTGATGTGAGTAGTGTTTTATCCAAATGTGTGGGGGTATTACACAACTCACAGATGGTATGTAAAAGGTAAAATGTTTATGTAAAAGGTATATTTAGCTGTAGAGACAACGGCGTAATGCACAAGAGACAGAACGCTGGACTCACTGTGTGCTTAAGCTGAATAAATCTACAAGGCAATGTGAGGATTTTGTGCTAAACCCAAGCCCCGATAAATACAGATCTTTAGTTCTAACGTAGCCAAAATTTTCACTTTCTAGTTCAAACATATGTCCTTTTAACACACATAATTTCCACTTAAAGCCCCAAATCTGTGTATCATTTGTTCATTCGTGTTTCAAAATAAAACCAAATATAAGAAAATGAAAAAAAAACAACTATTTTCTTCATTATTTGTCTCCAAAACCAAAATGGAAAAAAACGGACAATGATTCGTTTCCTGTTTCTGTGACTTAGACCGCGATGCTGGACTTTTGCGCCGCATACGGACTGATCCCAGGACTGAACTGGGACTAAAACAGGACTACACCAGGACTACAGCAGGACTGAACCAGGATTGACCTGGGACCAAACCAGGACTAAAACAGGACTGAAACAGGACTACACCAGGACTGAATCAGGACTAATCCAGGATTGATCCAGGACTAAACCAGGACTGAAACAGGACTAAAACAGGACTGAACTAGGACTACATCAGGACTGAACCAGGACTGAGTGTTGGGATGTCCCCAGAAGTGTGCCCATGTAGACTGTCGGGTGATCAGGACTGAGACTGGAACAAGACCTAGACCAGAGACCGGTAATGAGACCAGGACTGAGAGCAGAACTGAGACCGGTTTAGTACTGGTTTAGTCCTGGTTTTGACTTGGTTTAGTCCTGGTTTAGACTTGGTTTAGTCCCAGTTTAGTCTCGGTTTGGTCTTGGTTTAGTCCTGGTTTAGACCTAGTTTAGTCCAGAATCAAAAACTGAAAATCAATATCCGTTTTTTAATTTTGGTTCTGGAGACTTTTTTTGTTGTTGTTTGTTTTATTTTGAAAAACAAATTAACGATTGCCTCACTGTGTAACTTTTTAATCAAGGTATTTTTTTTATTTTTTTTTATGAGTGTTCTTCTCGTTCGTGAGCTTGCATCTCCATAAACCCGATTTTTTGGCCAGAAGGGGGACCTGGATGTTTGAAAATGTTGTCCCTTTGTCTATAATATTCCACCATGTTGTTTTAACTTTCTATTTCCATGGAATTATGCAAGTGACCTGCCACATCCATAAAGTTACACAGTGTTGCTTTAATACAAAGGACTTTCACTGTGATAGAGATTTCAATAGCATAGCTCCCCCCTCACAGCTCGTCCGAATGTTCCGCAGTGTCTTACCTTCTTGAGGATGATGATTCCCTCCTGGTTGTGTTCGTTGGTGGTGATATCAAACATGGCTCCTCCGTCTCCGGGGACGATGGTGTACTCCACCTCCGCGTTCCTCCCGATGTCCAGGTCGTGGGCTTTGATTCTGCCGACCGCTGAGCCCACCGCCGAGGACTCAGGCACCGCGCAGGTGGAAGAAACCTGGAAGCAAAGACAACAAGACGAGTTTGTTTATTTATTTGACTTCACATTGTGCTATACTGACTTGTTCGAGATTAAAAGGTTATCAGTTTCTCATCAAAATACCTAAAGTTTGAGTAATGTTGCATGATCCTCAAGCAATAAAAAATTTAATTGGTTCCCTCCTTTATTCACCTACACTAGACTTGTACTGTCCATTTCACTGCATAAACTGCCTCAACTACAGCAACATTTTGATGTTTTAAAACAGGGGTGTCAAACTCATTTTGGTCCGGGGGCCGTATCCAACCAATTTTGATCCCAAAGGGGCCGGATCAAAAAACTCATGACATATAAACCCCAAAAACAGCAATAAGTTCAAATATTTGTGCAGAGAAACACAAATCTATTACAGAAATCTTTTTTAATTGATGAACTCTTTCTTTTACAAAATATTATAATATTAGGAACAACCTGAAACTTTAAGAAAAATACAATTTCAACACAATGTCTTAACATGAACTTGTTTAACATTAACTTGTATAAATAAGAATAAATACATTTTTCTTGGAAAATCCTGCACTCGGCTCCACTTTTCTCATTTTTGACATTTTGCTGATGAGGGTGTCACGGTCAACAGTCAAAACGATCGTCCTTTAAGAGCGTTTGGAAAGAGACAAGTCTTCATTTGTGCTGCTCTGGTGGGAGGGGCCACGTACAGAGACGCTGGAGACGCTGCTGTGATAAACACCACAGAAAATTAACAAGATTTTAATAAAAAAATAGAATTAAAATATTTTAGTAGAAAATCAGCCGAGGGCCAGATTAAAGGTCTTGGAGGGCCGGATCTGGCCCCCGGGCCGCATGTTTGACACCTGTGTTTTAAAAGGTAAACTATGTAATTTGATGATTGTTTCCATGGAGATCGTGTTGATTTGCCAGAAACGTTCCTCAGTGTGGTAGTAAACTTTTATGGCTCCAGGCCTTTAGCTTTAGCTTTTGTTTGTATTTTTTGTTAAACTTGTATGTGCGGCAGCAATTTCCAAGCTTCCCAATGCAACCCAGCCTGTGAATTCTTACAGCTGATTGGAGACGCTCACCGACTGGGTTCCTGATTGACGCTGCGTTCGATTATCTTCCAACTCGAGTCTCCCCGTCCCAGGAAAATAAAATATCCTCATAAATGTTCAATAATTTATTAATTTATTTAGTGATTTATGAATAATGTATTAATGTAGTAATTGACTTGGGTCGCAAAGATTTGTGACTTTTAAAGTATGGATTCCCAGAAAAAAAGTTTGTGAGACACTGCTTTAGTGTGTACTTCTTTTCTTAGTTAACCTTGCCCTCTGTTACCATTTTGTTTAAAAACCTTGTAAATTAAATTACATTTTCTGTAAATATTTTATATCCCCCTTTTTGTTTCATTTATCTTGCACATTCCTGTTAATTCAATTACTTATTTATTTATATACATTTTCCATCTTGTTTTTTTTTTGTTACTTCCCTTTCACGAGCAGAGCTGGGTCATAACAAACTCACTAACTTGCATTTAATAAATTACTTTTTGAACCTCAGCCGTACCATAAAAAACATGATCATTCTTACTGCGTGTGGGGTCACCTCTTCGCAGATCTGACTTGTCACTTGTTATGGTGCATTAACAGTTTGTAGGGCTGGGTATCATTAAGAAGTTGCCGATACGATACATACCTCGATACATACGCCACGATACGATACATATCTCGATACAGTGCACTTTCGATTCGATATGATATATTTCAAATCAATTCGATACAGTTCAATAAAAAAATAAAGGTTAAATCATGGCTGTGATACTAAAAGTCTTTGTTAAACCATTTCTTGTGCAAAGTTCATATGAAACACAAACATTTTAATCCTCCAAATGTCAAATGTGTCGCATAAATGAGTTTCCTTTCACTCCACAAGCAACAAAACTGTAGCTCTGTAACAAAAGAATTGAGTAAACCATGTAAAAATACTCTTGGTGATATATCGATACAGTAGCCCGTGATATCGATACTGTATCATCACATTAAATGATACGATATATCGATATTCCAATATTTTTGCACACCCCAAACAGTTTGTCTTCATTTACTAGTAGATATGTTGTAAGAAGTTAACTGCAGGATTTGTTTATGTATTCAGTCAATGGAGGAAACCAGAGCATCACCATATCATCCACTCAGATATAAGGAAACCATAAGCCACACAAAAACCCACATCTGTCCAGGAATCGAACCAGAGACCTTCTAGTCGTGAGCCGAAACGTCCAACCTCTGCTCCACCGTTTCCCTGTTGTGTTTATTGTTATCACTGATCACCACATGGACGTATATTGCTGTCGGCAGGGGTTAGGGGCCGATTTGCTTTGCTTGGGCGCGCGAGTGAAGTCCGTGACATTACTCGCTTCGGAGCCGTTTGAACATGAAGCGGGCTGCGGCGCTCCTGATTGGCCGGTTCAGATGCAAAGATCACCAAACGCAGAAGAAGGCTTTGATAGGCCCCACAGAGGGATCAGAGCTCGGCACATGTAAGGCAGTGTGCAGGTGAGAGAGCCATAACAGTCAACAGGTTTAGGATCGTGTTTACAGCAAAAGAGGAGGAGGGGTGTGTTTATTCCACCGGGGTTCAATAATAAATCAGCACGTGTGAGGGAACCAAATACAAATACCAAACCAAAAGCCAAACAAAAAGAAAAACAAATAGAGGTTGAGATCATTTTCCTTATTGTAAAACATAATTATTTTAAGTTAAAGGTCCTATATTATGCAAAAAATGGCTCTTAAATTGAGCTTTGAGTCAAAAATACTGTGCAAAAATATTGAAATATTGAAAAATGACATCGTTTAATGTGATGATACTGTATCGATATCATGAGCTGCTGTATCGATATATCACCAAGAGTATTTTTTGGTATATTTTACTAAATCATTTTGTTGCAGTTACAGTTTTGTTGCTTGTTTAAAGGAAGGAAACTCATTTATGCGACACATTTGACATTTTCACTGTTCTGATGATTAAAATGTTCGTGTTTCATATGAACTTTGCTCAAGAAGTGGTTTAACTAAGACATAACGGCGCGAATCGAGAATCGGTGCCAGAACGCTCAAGACGTGCGTCCAAGGGCGTCGGCATCGGACGTGCAGCGTCAACCAATCAGGGTCGAGTATCCAGTGACGTAACAACGTTATTATCAGGAAGAAAGAGAAAGACCCGAAAACCAGAGCGAGAGCCACAGACGTTAGCAGAGTATAAATATATAGGCCGAAATCACCGAGCGGATCACCAGGACTAGACCAGGACTAGACCAGCACCAGACCAGCACTAGACCAGGACCAGACCAGGACTAGACCAGCACTAGACCAGGACTAGACCAGCACCAGACCAGCACCAGACCAGGACTAGACCAGGACTAGACCAGCACCGGACCAGACCAGACCAGCACCAGACCAGGACTAGACCAGGACTAGACCAGGACCAGACCAGGACCAGACCAGGACCAGACCAGGACTAGACCAGGACTAGACCAGGACCAGACCAGGACCAGACCAGCACCAGACTAGACCAGGACTAGACCAGGACTAGACCAGGACCAGACCAGGACCAGACCAGGACTAGACCAGGACCAGACCAGGACTAGACCAGGACTAGACCAGGACCAGACCAGGACTAGACCAGGACTAGACCAGGACTAGACCAGGACTAGACCAGGACCAGACCAGGACCAGACCAGGACTAGACCAGGACTAGACCAGGACCCAGCCCAGACCAGACCAGCACCAGACCAGGACTAGACCAGGACTAGACCAGGACTAGACCAGGACTAGACCAGGACCAGACCAGGACCAGACCAGGACTAGACCAGGACTAGACCAGGACTAGACCAGGACTAGACCAGGACCAGACCAGGACTAGACCAGGACCAGACCAGGACTAGACCAGGACTAGACCAGGACTGGACAGGGACTAGACCAGTGTCATTAGTGTGTCATTAGCACAGTATAAATATATACATGTCACATTTGCCGAGCCGATCGCCAGGACTGGACCAGGACTGGACCAGGACTGGACCAGGACTATACAGGACATACATACATACATACATACATACATACATACATACATACATACATATTTATACACTGCAGCCGTCGAGCAGATCGCCTCTGCTGATGGTTTTATGTAATAAATACACTAAAGTTAGTCTCAGCCTGGTCTGCCATCGTTTCGGGAAAAGACCGGGACCGGGCACTTGTTTCCAGGGCAACGGACCCGCGTCGAAGTATTTTTCTCCCGTTCGTCCAAGGTGTCCAAGACGCGCGTCGGGGGCGTCTAAACTCCAATGCAAAGGCTCCAAATAGAGACGTCTAAGGCTTTTTTTGACGCTTCTGAACGGACCTTGACATTTATTTGCATTTTGAGACTGTATAAATAAACTGTATAAATAAATCCTTTCTAGGCCAAGTTTAGTCCTGGTCTAGTCCAAGTTTAATCCAAGTCTAGTTTAGTCCTGGTCTAGTCCAAGTTTAATCCTAGTCTAGGCCAAGTTTAGTCCTGGTCTAGTCCAAGTTTAATCCTAGTCTAGGCCAAGTTTAGTCCTAGTCTAGGCCAAGTTTAGTCCTGGTCTAGTCCAAGTTTAATCCTAGTCTAGTCCTAGTCCTGGTCTAGTCCTAGTTTAGTCCTGGTCTAGTCCTGGTTTAGTCCTGGTCTACTCCTGGTTTAGTCCTGGTCTAGTACAAGTTTAGTCCTAGTCTAGGCCAAGTTTAGTCCTGGTCTAGTCCTGGTTTAGTCCTAGTCTAGTCCAAGTTTAGTCCTGTCTAGTCCTGGTTTAGTCCTAGTCTAGTCCTAGTTTAGTCCTGGTCTAGTCCTGGTTTAGTCCTAGTCTACTCCTGGTTTAGTCCTAGTCTAGGCCAAGTTTAGTCCTGGTCTAGTCCTGGTTTAGTCCTAGTCTCCTCCTGGTTTAGTCCTGGTCTAGTCCTGGTTTAGTCCTAGTC